TTTAACATATCTAAGTCAACGTCAGTCCTCGTAGGTTTATCAAAACTATAAAGTCACTGTTTGTACAGCTTTAACATATCTAAGTCAACGTCAGTCCTCGTAGGTTTATCAAAACTATAAAGTCACTGTTTGTACAGCTTTTAACATATCTAAGTCAACGTCAGTCCTCGTAGGTTTATCAAAACTATAAAGTCACTGTTTAACTGTACAGCTTTAACATATCTAAGTCAACGTCAGTCCTCGTAGGTTTATCAAAACTATAAAGTCACTGTTTGTACAGCTTTAACATATCTAAGTCAACGTCAGTCCTCGTAGGTTTATCAAAACTATAAAGTCACAGTCTAAGTCTCAGTCCTCGTAGGTTTTAAAACTATATCTAACAGTCAACATCAGTCAACTCGTAGGTTTATCAAAACTATAAAGTCACTGTCTGTACAGCTTTAACATATCTAAGTCAACGTCAGTCCTCGTAGGTTTATCAAAAAGTCTATAAAGTCACTGTCTGTACAGCTTTAACATATCTAAGTCAACGTCAGTCCTCGTAGGTTTATCAAAACTATAAAGTCACTGTCTGTACAGCTTTAACATATCTAAGTCAACGTCAGTCCTCGTAGGTTCTCTTAGGTTTATCAAAACTATAAAGTCACTGTTTGTACAGCTTTAACATATCTAAGTCAACGTCAGTCCTCGTAGGTTTATCAAAACTATAAACTATAAAGTCACTCCTCGTTTGTACAGCTTTAACATATCTATAGTCAACGTCAGTCCTCGTAGGTTTATCAAAACTATAAAGTCACAAAACTATAAAGTCACTGTCATGTACAGCTTTACACATATCTAAGTCAACGTCAGTCCTCGTAGGTTTATCAAAACTATAAAGTCACTGTTTGTACAGCTTTAACATATCTAAGTCAACGTCAGTCCTCGTAGGTTTATCAAAACTATAAAGTCACTGTTTGTACAGCTTTAACATATCTAAGTCAACGTCAGTCCTCGTAGGTTTATCAAAACTATAAAGTCACTGTCTGTACAGCTTTAACATATCTAAGTCAACGTCAGTCCTCGTAGGTTTATCAAAACTATAAAGTCAGGTTTATCAAAACTATAAAGTCACTGTTTGTACAGCTTTAACATATCTAAGTCAACGTCAGTCCTCGTAGGTTTATCAAACCTAAAAAGTCACTGTCTGTATAGCTTTTACATATCTAAGTCGACGTCAGTTCGTACCCGTGAAGGTCCGGGTTAGAATTGCTCTTCAGTAACACATGCTTGTCGTAAGAGGCGACTAACGGGATCGGGTAGTCAGGCTCGCTGACTTGGTTGACACATGGCATCGGTTCCCAATTGCGCAGATCGATACTCATGCTGTTGATCACTGGATTGTCTGGTCCAGACTCGATTATTTCCAGACCGCCGCCATATAGCTGGAATATTGCTGAGTGCGGCGTAAAACTAAACTCACTCACTCACTCAGTCAGTTCACGTAGGTTTGTCCAACCTATTGAGTCGGCGTACAGCTTCAACATATTTAGGTCTAAATCCAAATGGGTGTTACCGTAAAATCAAGAAAATCATTCACACCAATATAATTGCTCCAAAACAGAAATATGACGCCACCACAAATGAAACCACAACTGAAAACTCATAATTGTGTCCAAGCTCTCATCAGAAGTATGGATGCAGGATCAGGTCTTTCCAGATCAATTTTCAATATTTATCGATCAAATGCTTTTCATTTCGGCACATATCTCAGATACGATGTCAAAGAGCTTTAACTAAATGGACTGCTAGATGTGCGTCCTTTGGTTCTCAATGATCAAGCCATGACCTATGCAATAATGCAGATCTATACGTGCCGACATATCAAGACTGACAGCTAAATGGCAGCATTAATACCGTTCTCGTGATAGATCCACCTCCGGTCAATACAACTGACCACTGACTATATAACATAGCCATAAGACAGTCCACCTCCCGATGTTATTAAACACAGACATGACCTTCCACTAAGCGCCCATCAAACCTCAGACGGAGACAGTGTTCCATCTAGATACACTCAAACTGAACCTCCCGGGAGTGACACTACCTCAGTCAATAAACGAGTTTGGACCATCTCTCTCTTCTGGGAGTATTTGGAACCAGGCACGTCATCTGAGTGAGACATCAGAAGATATTGGATGATGAACTTCTCTTCTCTGACCTCAAGGTCATGGTGGTTGTAGAGGTCATGACGGACTCCTTCAGTGACACAGACTGACAACTGGTTCGTGGTCAAAGTCGTTTCTCCCACGGATGAGGATGGGACGACCATGATGGATTGTGTGAACGGACCCTTCTCAACTCAATGTAATCGCGGCAGAGCGCGGTGTTTGTCAATAGAAACTAACGCGTACCACTCATGGATGGGATAAATCTCTGTAATTATCAACTCGGTGTCTTCTCACGAACACCGGGTGTCGTCACTGGTTTATACTGTTCCATTTATATTGTCATATTCACTGTTACTTAGTCGCTTTTACGTATAAGAGATTCTGATTCACATAGCAAAAATAATAACAATATTTATAAAACGTAAATGATATTAAATCTGTATTATTAAAACATAGCTCCAATAAACTTGGAAAACATTCGAGGTGTTAAATGCTTCTCTTATCACAATGTCTGCATTTGGAAATGGAAGATTATGATTTTTGTGTGTAACATCTAACGTTTTCTAAAGAGACGGTTGGTAATGGCTTTGAAAGATCGATAAAGATAACAAAGATGGTGAACGTTTACAAGAATATGTTCAGGTGTTGACATTTCAAACTAATCACTCTGATGGTAAGCGTGTATATATCTTGGCATGTGTCCCTGGTTGAGGGGTGCTTACGTTACTGCGGGATTTATTAGCTGAGGGGTCTCCGGTGTCATTACATCAGCCTGTGTGACGTTTATGAAAAACAAGTGGAATAAACAAACACGTTCGCCAAACTATAAGTGGTAATGTGTCCCTCTATGTTGCATTTGTCTGTCCAAAGTATGTATAAACTGTGGTAAAAGTGGGTTTTTTTTCGTAGAAACAGAAAAAGTGTGGCAAACAATTTTTTTTAGCTTTGAACAGCGTAAGGAGACAGTCTGGAGGCGGAGGGGAGAAGTGGAGCGGAGAGGTGCATAGCGGAGTAGAGAGGCTAGGAGTGAAAAGACGTGCACAGAGGAAGAGAAAAGTGGAACGAGGCGGAGAGGGCAAAGAGAAGAGGAGCATAGAGAGGTGAGAGGGGCAAAGAGGAGAGGAGCATAGAGAGGTGGAGAGAGGCAAAGAGGAGAGGAGCATAGAGAGGTGGAGAGGGGCAAAGAGAAGAGGAGCATAGAGAGGTGGAGAGAGGCAAAGAGGAGAGGAGCATAGAGAGGTGGAGAGAGGCAAAGAGAGAGGAGCATAGAGAGGTGGAGAGAGGCAAAGAGGAGAGGAGCATAGAGAGGTGGAGAGAGGCAAAGAGGAGAGGAGCATAGAGAGGTGGAGAGGAGGCAAAGAGGAGAGGAGCATAGAGAGGTGGAGAGGGGCAAAGAGGAGAGGAGCATAGAGAGGTGGAGAGAGGCAAAGAGGAGAGGAAAGAGAGGTGGAGAGGCAAAGAGAAGAGGAGACATAGAGAGAGGGAGAGAGGCAAAGAGGAGAGAGGGCATAGAGAGGTGGAGAGAGGCAAAGAGAAGAGGAGCACAGAGAGGAGAGGAGAGAGGCAAAGAGGCAAAGAGGAGAGGACACAGAGAGGTGGAGAGAGGGCAAAGAGGAGAGGAGCATAGAGAGGAGGAGGCAAAGAGGAGAGGAGCAAAGAGGAGGTGGAGAGGAAAGAGAGAGGTGGAGAGGTGAGGAGAAAAGAGAGAGAGGACATAGAGAGGAGAGAGGCAAAGAGAAGAGGAGCAGGAAAGAGGAGGAGCACAGAGAGGTGGAGAGAGAGGCAGGAAGGAGAGAGAGGGAGGATAGAGAGGTGGAGAGGGGCAAAGAGGAGAGGAGCAGAGAGGTGGAGAGGAGGAAGAGAGAGGAACAGAGGAGGTGGAGAGAGGTGGAGAGAAGAGGGAGGGGTGAGAGAGGAGAGGAGAGGTGGAGAGGAGGAGGAAGAGGAGCAAAGAGGAGAGGAGAGAGAGGAAAAGAGGAGAGGAGGAGAGGTGGAGAGAGGAGGAGAGGAGGAGGAGAGGGAGGAGAGAGAGGAGCACAGGAGAGAGAGGAGGAGGACAGGAATGGAGAGCATGAGAGGAGAGGAGAGGGCAAGGAGAGAGAGGAGAGGAGAGAGGGAGAGGAGGAGGGAAAGAGGAGAGGAGCATAGAGAGGGAGAGGGACACAGAGAATGGAATGAGGGCAATAATGAATCAACGGCATGGAAAGGAAATGAATGAGTCGAAGAAATGGAATGGAATGGAAGAACAGGATCACATAATGGAGAACACCGGATGTATTGGAATGTACGGATCATCGGCTTACAAGTGTCCGGTTGGAAATCAACGAAGAGGAAAGGAATGCCATTGTCAAAGAGACCAAATAATCCCAGAACTGTTAACATTTATGCATGTGATTTCTTCCCTCTTTGAATTATTTTTTTTCCTTTTTCGACTTGAAAAAATCGTGAATCACTGATTTGTCTTTGCGAGTGTTTGTGAAACATGGCGCTCTCAACCCTTCCCGAAAACCTGTTCCAATTAATGCTTAATAATGGTTTATACACACCTGCTTGTGGTATAGTTGATATCTTACAATGGACGAAGCTTTTGGTGGTGACTTCTTGTGGTAAGGAACAGAGATCAGCCTTATTTTGCAATTGGCCATTTAACTGCAAGGTCACCCTGTCATAACACCTAAGGAATCTGGAAGTATAATTATTTTCTTATAATCGAAACAGAATCGAAGTCAGGGACGGGTGTCAGATGGTGCATTTCTAACCCCAGTTGGATGTGGAAGACAAATATGACAACTTTATGAGGTTCGCTGGCGATATCTATTGATGCGTCTTCCGTTCAACACTACAACAGTATCAGTGACGTCCATTTGTGAGCTGGGTAGACATGGCCTGGCTGTCGCTGGCTGGGTAGGAAATGGTTTGGATGTCGCTGGCTGGGTAGGAAATGGTTTGGATGTCGCTGGCTGGGCAGGACATGGTTTGGATGTCGCTGACTGGGTAGGACATGGCTTGGGTATCGGGCGCTTGGTATGACATGGTTTGGATGTCGCTGGGGTACTGGGTACATGGACATGGCTTTGACATGGCTGTATCGCTGACTGGGTAGGACATGGTTTGGGTGTCGCTGACTGGGTAGGACATGGCTTGGGTATCGCTGGGTTTGGATGTCGCTGGCTGGGTAGGACATAGGACTTGGTGGACATGGGTACTTGGTAGGACATGGCTTGGATGTCGCTGGCTTGGGTAGGACATGGTTTGGATGTGACTGGGTAGGACATGGCTTGGGTATCGCTGACTGGGTATCATGGTTGACTGGGTAGGGGTTTGGGTATCGCTGACTATGGTTTGATGTCGCTGACTGCGGACACTGGGTATGACATGGCTTGGGTATCGCTGACATGGTTTGGATGTCGCTGACTGGGTAGGACATGGTTTGAGTGTCGCTGGGTAGGACATGGCTGGGGTATCGGACATGGCATGGATATCTGGGTAGGACATGGCTTGGGTATCGCTGACTGGGTAGGACATGGTTTGGATGTCGCTGACTGGGTAGGACGTGGCTTGGGTATCTGGCACTTGGTAGGACATGGCTTGGGTGTCGCCGACTGGGTAGGACATGGTTTGGATGTCGCTGACTGGGTAGGACATGGCTTGGATATCGCTGACTGCAGCATTTTAAACAATATACAGTAATATGGAACTCTTTTTCTTGCAAAATCTGCAATCAATTGAAACAAATAGTATGAGGTTTCGTGTGGTTGTTTTGTTTTAACGTCGCTCTAAGCAGTGTTGAAGCTATATGGTGACGTTCTTGACGTAACCGAGTCCAGACATGGCACTGAGTAAGCAGAACATGAGCAGAACAGATGTTCAGCAGCCCATTTAGGTTGTAAGAGGGGACTAACGGGCTCGGGTGGTCAGATTTTGCTGACTTGGACGACATATATCATCGTATCCCACTTTCGTAGATCGATGTTCATGATGTGAATCACAGGATTGTCTGGACCACTCTCGATTAGTATTGCTTAACGCGGGATCCGGACACATCTGCTTTGTCTCAACCTTGACTATACTTAAGTATATGATATAATATTTTATTTGCAATGACAGGACTAGTATCACACAAAATGTACATCTTAGGCACCATACAGCGATGTAAACAGGTGTGAGCATATCCTTCCTACATATATTTTTAGGTGAACAGCTGACTTGGCTTTGCATGTCAACTGTCCACATTTTCCTGGATACCACTTCCCTGTAATCCATAGACACATGGTTATGATGTAGCTTGAACCGTACCCTGGACTTTTAGAAGGGGTGGTGGGGTAGCCTAGTGGTTAAAGCGTTCGCTGATCACACCAAAGACCCGGGTTCGATTCCCCACATGGGTACAATGTGTGAAGCCCATTTCTGGTGTCCCCGCCGTGATGTTGCTGGAATATTGCTAAAAGCGGCGGAAAACTAAACTCACCCACTGCTTTTAGAAGAAATTTCTTATGGATTGTGATTACGGAAAGTTTCAGAAAAAAACTGTCAAGGTCACTTTACAGATGAACTTGGAACTAAATGCTTGATCGTGTAAAACAGCTACCGAATGTTGTGTACGGTCAATATGACTTTCAGCTAATATTATGCATTTTCGGCCCTTCATTTAAACAGGGCGTCTTGTCCAACATTCTTAGAACGATATACTCCATGAACCTTACGTATTACGCAGTATTTGTAAGTGATTGCGTCAACCCACAGACATTTGGACTGTTTAAAATCTCATCTTCATTAGGATTTATGTTCCAACTTTTAAAACCATAAAGATAATCACAGCCATCTATGATCATCGTTTACAATATTATGACTGCCATTTGGTGATGAAATATTTGTGGCTGAATTTTCTCCATGCCTTATTACTACTTGAACATCGACGACTGCCTGCAATATAAATATTCCAAATGCCTTTTACCTATTACATTGGTAATATGATGCATTTGAATGGATCTATGAACTAATAATGTTCCCATATAGGTATTTAAGCATGGCAGCAAAGAGTTAAAGATTATGGTTTAAGTATTTTAGTACTACACCAGATGTATAAAATTGGATTTTAATTCCCGCACTCCTGTAACCTAAATTCTTTAGTTTGGAAAATGGTATACAGAAAAGAAATATCATGGGTAGAAAAAACATTCAGATTAAAGATCAGTGAAAATGATCCTACGATTAACGAAAAACGACACGTTTACACTATATCACGGAAGTATGATAATATGATCTGTTGCAATCAATAGGCAATAAAAATATCACAACTTTATGCTGTTTGAATTCTTGTAAACGACATTGATATGGAGCGTGTAGCTTGATACAGTATAATGAACACGTGTGGTTTACCACTCAACCGCGAACTCCTTCAGCTGTTGGTCAGATCAATACGGAACTGTGATTGAGTGAATATGGTTTTGCGCCATTTTTAAGCACTATTCTCGCTATATCACCACACGAGGCACCAGAGAAGTTCTTCACACATTGAACCTACGTTGAGTTGAGTTTAACGTCACATTTTATTCCAGCCATGTGGGGAATCGAACCCGGGCTACCCAACGCCATACGGATGTTAGCATTCACCTGACGAAGGGGTATGGAAAAGCCCAGAAACGTTGTGTATACAATAAAGAATACGTTGACATCCACAATATTTTGTCTTATACTTGAATACCAACTTCTATATGCCCCCTCAAGAACCTCGTCATACGGAGTAGTTAGTAAGCTGTGTGTTGCACCATTTGAACGATTCTTCAGCAACATCCAGATGGCGGACACCAGGAATTGGCTTCACCCGGTGTACCCAGATCATTACAATAATCTGTATTGACCCACATTATAACAATCACGTTCGGGTTTAGTTAGAGTTATTTTGAGTGCAGGGGGATTAAGACGCCATGTCCCACGCGACCAGACTGACTGATATTTCCTGACAGCATCTCTAGTCGCCATGAAACTTGTCATTAAATACCGGACTTACGTGGAACCGTGTATTTACCTTACAATCTAACCATGTTAAGAAATTCCTCAATAGCATTAAGGCCAAAACTATTGACTTTTACTTGCCCTCTGTAGTAATCACCGGACTTGTCCAAACAGCCAATTGCAGGCTTCTTCTCAGACAATCCAGATTTAACATCGACAGTGAGGGGAGGGGAGGGGTTCGATACTACCAACTAAGTGTAAATAGCTTTATTGATTGGATATTGATAAAACCCCAGGTATGTGTAAATATGTGATATTTTATTAGTGCGAGCAGTGGGGTGCTTATTAGTATTTCATGACTCTGGGAGGAAGGGTGTTATTACTGATGTTGAAGATGAAGAAGGTACTCAATATTTGGTTGTTACTGAGGGTTGTCAGCGGTATGAATTATACAGGTGAGCATTTATTATATAGCGCTAGTAAATTGCTGGTGATTTATCAGTTGTTCGGAAAGATTTTGACACATTTAAATTGAAAACGTAATGTTTTACATGTAACATGATTCAGGCTTTTGAAACTTAATGATTAATGTGCATACATATCAATACATACAGAAAAAGAAAGATCTTGATTTTAGACCGACCTTATACGATAAACATACCTGTATTATTATCATGGATAATGCCTCTATTATTATTATATAATAATATGGGTATGCACAAAAGAGTTATTTTTTTGTATTGATTACATCATAACTGTTAACCATAAAAAATAAACATGAATAGTAATGTTGTATGTCAGTGTTTAAACTCCCGTAGTCAGGTATGTCGTAAATGGCATCTATGTGTCTTCATCATCAGTGGCGTAGGCATTAGCGCCACTAAGCAGCAACGTCATGTTTACTTTTCTCCTTAACACTATTCAGTCAGCATCAATATTGTAAACTTTCGTGTCATAAACACCATTGCCGTCAAGCGTTAATGTCGTGAAATTATATGCCGTAAAAGGTTAATGTCGTAAAATAATATATAGCAGTGATGAAATAAACGTCAAAGTCGTCAAACAAAACGTCCTTAACATGGATGTCGTCAAACATCAGATGTGAGCATATGTTTTAAGACAGTGATGTCGTAAATATGATTACAGTCTGACATTCCATTGAATACCACAGCCCTTGGTAAACATTTTAGACCCATGAAGATCCGGGTTAGAATATTGATCTTCAGTAACCCATGCTTGTCGTAAGAGGCGACTAACGGGATCGGGTGGTCAGGCTCGCTGACTTGGTTGACACATGTCATCGGTTCCAAATTGCGCAGATCGATGCTCATGCTGATGATCACTGGATTGTCTGATCCAGACTCGATTATTTCCAGACCGCCGCCATATAGCTGGAATATTGCTAAGTGCGGCGTAAAACTTAACTCACTCACTCACTGTAAACATTTTACAAATACAGAAATAGAAGTCATATCGTTCATGTTTTGTTTGTGTTTCTTCTTTGACAAGTTGGGCGGTGGGGTAGCCTAGTGGTTAAAGCGTTGGCTCGTCACGCCGAAGACCCGGGTTCGAATCCCCACATGGGTACAATGTGTGAAGCCCATTTCTGGTGTCCCCCGCCTTGATGTTGCTGGAATATTGCTAAAAGCGGCGTAAAACCAAACTCAGTCAGTCAGCCTTTGACAAGTTGGTTTATGTTGAGGTATAATAAAAACAATGTGACTTCTCTTGAAATGCCACAACGTCTACAACATATGACAACAACATCGGATCAATGCCATTTGCCGTTACAAACACATTGGCTCGAGACTAATTGGTTGTATCTATATAAGATGTGCCAACCATAGTCTAGACATACATTCTTCCAATCCATATATCTCTATGACGGCTTTAATTACACCTGGGACAGGCCAGGATGCCAATGGTGTTCACTGACTCTAGAGTTGATGTCCAAATTTGTCGTTATTGCTGACGACGTTTTAGATTTTGTTTGACACACTGTTTCCACAGAAACCAGATTACCGTATATATGAAGTCAAAATCAAAATACGCCCATATAATGTTTATGAAAATTGAAGGAACATTGTTTTAATCACTATCACTCTGTACATCAACCCACTCTGCTCAAATCACTAATTAGCAATCCAATGTATATCAACCTTGTCAATTGTATATACTTACTAGGCAGCTATATATATATTCTCCTTGTTACAACTCGTTGTTTCACTTGCTTGAGGGGCAGTGGGGTAGGCTAGTGGTTAAGGCGTTCGCTCGTCACGCCGAAGACCCGGGTTCGATTCCCCACATGGGTACAATGTGTTAAGCCCATTTCTGGTGTCCCCCGCCGTGATATTGCTGGAATATTGCTAAAAGCGGCGTAAAACCAAACTCACTCACTCACTCACTTGCTTGATAGCGGTGTTCCTTCTAAAATGCCTCTCAAAGAAGGTTATGAAAGTTATTCAGTTTGGTTTGCACAAATATATAGTCATTAACCTTCTTTATATATACGAATACCAATCACAATGAAATCTTTACGGTATGAAACGCCTTTTAAGTTGTATACTAGTATTTTAGGCTCGGTTATTTTGCAATAAAACTTTCGAAAATAATCCAACATACAAACACCGTCGATTGAAGATGCCTGCAACGTTACCACTGAATCCTTATAGAAGCATTGTTTCAATAAT